TTATGCGCCGCACTCATCATTTATTAAATCGTACAAGTGTCACGAGCGCGATCAAGAAGCTAATCCATTAATTACGAGATCAGCTTCACGCGTACCGAGAGATCTACAGATATCTCCCTCTTTCCCAATCTGTAGCTGCGTGGTAAATTTTTCCACGCCATTAGACTTGAAATATTACGCGCGTTACGCGTATCGTAAAAAAAGACTCGAGATGTACAGACATAAAATAAAATAATTTATGTGAATTCGAAGACACGTTTAATACCGTTCGAACGTAGACGCTACGTACTTGAATGTTAATAGAAATAACGCTAAATATGGAACGCGCTTATCCGAACTCTTTACTACTTTTTACGATGTCATTTTGCGTCAATGGAATGCTTTAGCAAATTCGCGTCAGTGATACAAATCATTTGGCAGCTGAAACGCGATCGTATAATTGAATTTGTAATCGGCTTGATATGTACGACAGATTATCCGTACCTATTTTCCCGATTAACTCCTAAACCCTTTAATCGATCCGGACCAAATTTTAAGCTCGCGAGCCTCGGAGGAAACGCGACGCCTGGTTCCCGCCTAACTATTGTGCGAGCAACCGTTGCATAAGAATTAATGAAGGTGCCAATTATTTTTCAAATACTACAGACGCAATTTTCTTCCTGCGCTTGGACACCTGCGCTCCTGTCGACCCTCAAGGATGGAGCTGACGCTCGCGAATCAGCGAGTCGTTTTTATCCTCGTCCATTATTACCAAAGACTAGCAAATGTATAATTGATCGAACGCTATAAATACTTGAAGTTCGCGGTGTCAATCACCTTGCATACGTACGTGTTGGCGCCAGTAAACAAGGCTAAAAAGTAGAAGGAGAACGATCACGTGGTTACAAGAAATTCGAGTTTTATTTTCCCAGTTGCGATAACACGAACGGGAAAAAAAAACGTTACTACTGCCTGACTCTTTCATTTCAATTGACGAAATTACGATACGCCTAAGTTTATTTTTACCAAGGTGATAAATACGTGCGTAGCGCATGACGTTAAGATAGATTATTCAATTAATTACAAATAAAAAAAAAAAGAATATCTTAGTACCACGTGTCGATATGCGTGTAATTCGTTTCGCTTGATTGCAACATTCGGTCTTAAAACATTAAATCGTTTGCTGACTTCTGAATTTATCACTTTTTTCACATTTATCATCATTGTCACTTTATTTATGGAAATGCAAGAATTAATACAAAACCGTGATTCTCTCATCGATCTTGTGGTTACTCCGAAGCAATTGGCAAAAGGATTGTCTTAGTAGGTACTGAGAAAAGGGTTTTCCTTGTAATATTTATTAAATCTATTATAAGTAAAGTGCCTTCCCTGCCGGGATACATTGGCCAAAAACCGAAAACTATACAAAATCTTAGACCTAATTAAAAAAAAGAAATGCTTCCCACACCGGAAATAAAACTTAAACGCTAAGCTTAGCTGTTAAATCTATTAAATACCGATTTTAATATAAAAT